AGATTTGTCCCACCCCCAAACCCCCCCCCCCCCCGGCAAAGGGGACCCCTGAAGGTTATTCCTGCTTGCAGCAAGGGACAACGAAAGCCATCACAAGAAATTGCATCAATGAATAAAGATACTTCCTCAGTGGTGCATGTATGTATAAATACCAAAAAAGTGCTATTCGTTTTTGGCATTCCCATGGTTTTGTCAGAAATGAAATTAAATTAAGATCGGTGTGAGGCAAGTCCATTCCTGAACATATATTTGAACAGTTCAGAAAAAATAGCTTTGCTCTTGTGATGCTTTTCTTGTTCTGATTTGTACAAATTGTGTTGTCAGCTGGCATGATACTATGTTAAATGGGATGGACAAGGAGACCACAGATGAAAATGGTTGCATTAGTATTATAATCCTTTAGTTCTAGTTGGTGAGTTGTTGTGGGGTTTTGTTTAGCAGATTTTATTGGAAACATCCAGCTTATCCATTAGACCTGCTTGCTATAATTGATTATTAAAATGGGATTCCACTTTGCTGTGTTACGGGGTACAGCATATAAAATTGTTGCTTACATATTACTATTTAAACCTGTACTAGATCATGCAAAAATATTAAATACCTTCATAACATGTCTTGCCAGAAACTGCAGGAATTTCCTTTCAGCCACCAATGCAATTCAAATATGCCCTATAATCATAAATGAGATTGATTGGCTATGGGAAAATATTCCCATTTGTATTAAGAAGTGGTTGATGCGTCAGGTCCTGATTGCACATCTTCTTGGGGTAACGGACAGATGCACTTTAATAATGTCTTCAACAGCCCCCTCTGCCCCTCCTTTTAAAACAGTAGAATTAAATAAACCTGAACTCTGGGCTAAACAAAGTGATTTTATTATTTTTGAGGAACATGTTTCAATGAAGGCTTTTGTGTCTGGAGTTCAGCTTTAAAAGACCACAGATAATGAAGCTATTCTTCATGGCTGAGCTGGAAAGTGTCCTGGTCTTCATGGCGGCAGTGGGAAAAATTACTTTATTTCTTACTTCACGTGCACCAGAAGCTCCCATAGGAAATAAATGGCTTGCCTGCCAACATTTAGACAGGTATGCTATTATTTCATGTGCTAGAGTAAAGAGGTGGTCATTTCCCCACTGCTGTCATAGATAGAAAAATGCTATCTGGCCCCACCAGTGAAGAACCACATTTATGGTTTAGCTACACAACTTTGGAAGGGAAGGAAAAGAGTTTATGAAGTTCATTAAAAATTGAAGAGGAACTTTTTCCTAAATATTACAACAAATGGGCCTTAAGAAATGTTTAGTAATGTAAGTCTACAAACAGATACTTATAGTTAACTTAGTTTTTTTATTCTTTACATTTTTTATTTAATTTTCCACCCTATTCTTCTCCTGGTGGCCATTTTCACTAAGGTCAGGTAAACCCATCTCCCATTACTTCCACTGTGCACAGGATCTGGGGTGGTGCTTTTCCCCCTGAGATATTGCACGATTTTGAAGTATAAACATGAGATTTCCTGGAAGGCAATGGCACCTTTCCAGGGTAC